CAAGGAAGAACGAGTGGATGAGACCTCCTGCAGACAGGTAGAACAGAAGCTGTGATCAGCTGTACTATTTTCACTCAGTGAAAAGTAAAAGATGTTCCATCAAAACCAAACAACATACAAATTGCCTGACCATTGAGGCATGGGTAGAAAGAGAATAGCATAATGTTAATTTTGTGCCTTTTTCCCCCTGTTTGCAGATCAGACAAGGTTAGTTAATAAATTCAGATACAATGTTAAACCACAAGTACATTTCTCAGCGAAAAATCTACAGGTGAATAAATTACCTAGATCTAGTGAAGCACATGTAAAACGTGTAGTGTAAATGGTCTTACTTCCTATCAGTTTCTGGAGTCAGACAGATATAAATCTAAGAACTGAACAGGATGTTGCACGTCAGAGAGAAGTATTGTTCCCCAGCTTTCTGCTAAACTATACTTTTTTTTCAAATCAGTGTAAGATAGTATTACACTAATGTAGTTTTTTTCTTTTGAGGGTAAAATTAAATGCCAGTGCTAAGTACTAATATTCACCAACATTGTACTAAATTTCTCTGATTTGGTAAGAAATCATCAAATGGAACAGGGAAAGAGCTCTTATGATGTTGCCAGCAATCCTACTTTAGTATACTACCTGGCCCAGCTATACAATAGCAGATATACAGTGACATTAAAAAACATTTTTAGGAATTTTGATGGCAATAGAACAGTGTAATCATTGCAAATGTAGTGTTTAAACAGCACCGCCACTGCAAAATGCAGGAGTTACAAGAGTTAATCACTGGTTATACTATTGACATGAATAACTTAGAAATGGAGTTAAGTGCTTTGTTGATATAAATCCACTTTGCTTTTTATTCTCTAACTAGGATAAAGGAAATGTGATTATTTACCATCTCATTTGCAGCACTTCTTTGTCACGCCTTTCATAAATAGCATTCCTGCTACCAGTAGTTTCTCACTTTCAGAAGCACTTATCACAAATACACTTCAACAGAATAAATTCTTAACGAAAATTCTTTTTATGGCTGTGTATATATGTTTTTTACATGAAAGGTCACACTATAGCAAGTGTTCTCATTAAAACATGATAATTGTATATCTGTGAATGCTTCAGACAGACCTTATTTTGACTGTTCTGTTTAGTGCTTAACTCGTTTCACTTCTGAAAGTGACAAATGAACCCTATGAATAAATTACACAACTTCTAGTTATCTTATTTACCTCACCCAAACCACCATACACATCAGAGAAGTCAAGAATAAAAGAATGAAGTTATAAGATATAGCTCAAAGCTATCTCTTATTAGCTAACTACAGGTCCAGCTCCTGTTTTAAACTTTGCTTTCATAGTTTAAACTCCTACCACTGAATTACTCATTGCCTTATTATTTTACAAGACCTGATGCTCCAAACTCAGAGAATTTTCAAGGACTGCAAATACGTTACATGGTAAACAAATGAATTAAAAAAGAATAAAATGTGTTCCATAATTTCCTAACTTTTTTTTAAATCAGAATTATCACCCCAAATCCCTTTTTAACCTATTTCAATTTATAATTTTAATATTGCCTTATTATTTGTAACCTCTGTTCCTTATAACTTAAAAAGATACAGTATACATAGGCAACTATAACCCCCCCCCATTTCTTCACTAGCCTATGGCTAAAACAGTCTAATCCATATCTTAAGATTTTTGAAAGTGAATTTGAAATATGCTAGAATAATGGCAAATTACTAGAGTAGATAGAGAAATTATTTAGAGAACTTTACAAGCTTCATTACACACAAACAAACAAACAAAAAAACCGCCAACCAACCAACCAAAACTCCGCAAACAAACAAAAACCTCCACAAAACAAAACAAATACTAACCAAACAACCAAAAAGACCCACTACCCTGCCAGAAATGATCATGAAACCTTAAAGCTATGATGTTCCTTATAAAAAATGCAAGGATGCTGTATTGGAGAGGGCATTCCAATTCTAGGAATAAATTATACAGAAAAAGTGAAGCATGTTACACTAATGAAGAAATGATAAGAGATATAGAGAAAGATTAAACTGTAGAAGTGAATGAATGGTTCATAACATCTGGAAACATACTTTCATATGTTGTATGCCAGAAAAATATATGCAAAATCAAATATAATACCTCTCGCATACCTATCTGTAGTAGATGAAAAACAGAAGATCTCTGGTTGTTACTGTTACCATTCAAAAAGATAGTTCCTATTCTCTTCACTCTAAAGATTTTTGCTTACACGAAGAAAAAGCAAATACTGGGCTCCAGTCATGCTCTCAGATATGTGTACATGAACCTAACCATCTATGCAGGTATTTGTTCTGTTAACAGGATACATCTTCCAGTGGGTGCATATGCAGTCAGTCATGCTAAAACATGATTTTTATGCAACTACGTGCAGTTCAGTTTCTTGCTGTTAGAGTAGCCATCTAGACAGTTCATCTCCAAACACAGGGACTACAAAGCCTAAGAGGGATGGTCTCTCATTAGTTTTGTGACTATCAAACACCATTTGAAAAATTGTATAGAACATACTTCCTGCTGACCCAAGCTTTATATGGCAAAACAGAGAAAATAAATATATTTCTGCATTTACTTTTATTTTAGACATTAAAATTGATTTGCCAATTGAATCTCCTTCCTAATTGGAAAACTTACAAGAACAGCAAGAGCATAATTTACCATAGGTGTCTATATGAACCTCTCATTAAACTGAGACTGATCTATCAAAGAAAGACTGATATCTCACCAATTCCCAAAAGCACAAGGCCACCTTCCATGAACTTCCAGAGCTATCTTGCATTTTCAACTTATTTAATGTCAATTCAAAAAGTGCATTTCTTTCCTAGGTATTGCAAATAGAATATCATTAAGTGAGATACAGTTCCATTGATATTGGAGCTAATAAGCAGTCTTGATTTTAATTTACAGGCTAACCAGGGATCTTAGGAAAGAACATACAATTTAAAAACAAGTTATGTTTATAAGAAGAGATTACAGAAAAATGAAGGATTATAATTTTTGCGAAGGCGAAGAGAAAAGGAACCATGGTTCTCTTCACAGCTGCAAAGATGATGTTAGACCTGCAAGTAACAAGGTACTATCAGTAGGTAGGGAGAGCTTCTGCTTGTTCAGCATGTAGGGGTCACATCAAGGAAGGACTTATAGCCACAGATAAATATAACCCTTTCCTACAAACTCACAATTAATACTGACATACATTTCTGATATCTTACTCTTCTTTTAAAAAAGTAGCCAGCTGTCTCCAAGATCCAGTATTGCCAGACACTTAAACAAGATGCAACATTACAAAATTTATTACTGACCTTTGACTGCATTATCTGCCTTTTGACACCCTTTGTCAACACTAACATGCCTAGCATTTGGGGATTCCAATAAGCTAATAACTAATACTAGTAACTGCTGTTATTAATATCAAATATCATGACAGAAAAACATTTACACTTCATGTGAATTCTCCCCAAATACCAAGTACTCTGCCTGTAGCTTGAGTTCTCTGCAGTCATATGCCAGCAACATCTCTTTCTAAGCTTGTGACATTACAACATTTAAGATCAGACATTTCATCATCTGGCTAAGCAGGTCAATGGAAAAATCTCAATGAGACCCATTTTCCAGTCCCAGATTACTTGAAGAAAACTAAATTCACTATGTTTTTTATTATGTATACGTGTACATAGATAGTTTTACTTTAATGAAAAGCTATTGCTGGTCAGTATCAGAAGTATTTTGTATTTATATTCATTTTCTACATCTGTGGTCTTTTGGACTAACATTAATTAAATATTCTGTCTGCTTCTGACCAAGGAATGCAAGAGAATTGCATTTAGACCTTTTAATTCTCAAAACAATTATTCTGTAGGAGATGGTATATACAGAATGTATTTGATGACCTTACTTACATATGTCATGGATTTGACATTTGTGAGACCCTAAGACCTCAGCCTCCCACACATGAAATTCCTATATGACAGAGACCCACTACGTTTGCAAATTATTGTAAATCTCGGCACATACACACAGGTTACGCTGCATTTTCATCTGCAGGCTTAGTTCAACATTTACCATACTTTTCCAAATAAACAATAGAATATACCATCCACAAAAATGTCTTAGATTTGTATTTTAAACTATAATTAACAATTAATTTTTGTATTAATAAACCCTACTATTTCACCACATTTTCATTATTCTAGTTCAACATCTGATGATCAAATTCTGCTGTTTCCTAAAACTGGTATATGTCTAAGTCTAACTATAAGTTTCACTTCAGTGACCTCTTTTGGTTGATAAAATGCTTACTGATGTGATGAGCTTAATCTCTAAATTATTACAAGAAGTAACAAGTTAGTGTTTAAAATGGAAAGGAAATGTTATTCAGCTTCTCTTGGTAATTAAAACCAATTTTTCATTAAGCACTACAGCTCTCACAAAAATATGTAAAGTTAATGACAATACCTAGCAAAATGTAGAGCTTGACTATTTCTAATGAAAAATTATATAAAGAACTGCAATTAAGTCATCGGAAGCATGATTTTGCACAATCATCATGTGGAAAATACTGCAGGGATGATCTTATTCAATATAATCAATGTCATATGTAACTGTTTAGCTTTTGCACCCATTTTAGTATGCTGATGATAAACAATTTCCTTACTATTCTAAAAATGTTTGCCTGTTTATGAAAGAAAATTCGACAACAGGAAAAAATCTAGATGATTGCAATTGACACATTTTTCTAACATCAAAACACTGTTGGTTTTTTAGATTATCTATGACTTCATCTACAAAAATACTCAAGAGATTATGTAATCAGAAATAATGCTGGAGGGAGAGTTCCAAAAAGGGACTAATACGTAATTGAGCTTAAGCAGTAATTTACTATCAAAATATCATAATTATAATAAGAAACTTTTTTTTCTCTTTCAACTTATGTATGTAAGGAGGAGGCAAATGAAACAGCCTGGCCTCTAACCTGGACATTTTCATATCTTGCCACCTGTTTAGAGCCAATATTATATATTATGCATAAATCAGAAATCAAGTCAGATTCAGAAGTCAAGTAGGTCATATTCTTTGTACAAAACTGACAAAAAGTATAGAACTATAGCACATGTGTTAATTTTTTATTTTGTTCAAATTCTGTTTCTACTCATGCTCAACAACCCCACAGAATGTAATAAATACGAATTTGTTGCACGTTCATTAAATATGGGGGAAAAAAAGCTCTTTACCACTTTCCACCAATGAATATATATGGCTATATATGTGGCTCTTCATAATTTCCCACTAATAATGTTTCCATAGTCAAAAGTCTTGTGTTACATTATCTGGACTGATCTATGGCTTTATTAAATATATTGACATAAAATACATTAATGTAATTACATTTTAATATAAACATCATGATAAATGTGTACAAGGTAGAACTCACAAACATAAATGCTGAGAAAAAGTTGCTAATTATTAAAATGGTTCATGCAGAGAGCAGTGATATTGCAAGAGAGATATTTTTTACTTGCAAGACAGAAAAAGTTGATCACTTCAGGTTAAAAGTATTTATGCTAAATGTTAAACTTGGACATTTATTCATTAAGTTAATAAACAAGAATAATTTTCATTACAAAAGATCAGAAAGAAAACCAATTCACTCCAATCACTTACAGATCCTGTTGTTATTAAACTTGCCTCTACTCACTTTTACATTCCAGAGAAAACATTTTTGTTGATTATTAGATTCTTTTCTAGATGAATTAATAAATCAAGTAGACAATGCAGGTTAAATACAGATCTCTTGAAGCAGGAGACAGAAATGAAGAAAAAGTTAAACTAATGTTTAGCATACTAATGTTTAGGAAAATCTAAATTTAGCAAACATATTCCACTGTGATGTAAAAGTGAATTCAGCATTTTCAATTAGTTGAGGTTTGACTGGACCTTGTTATCATCTAGTCCAAAACACCACTCAAAGCAGAGGCACTCCTCCTTGTGTATGTCCAGTTTGTTTAAAGGCCCCCCAACTTGATTCTTCTCTACAGAAAAGTTTTTACTACTCCAGATGCTCCCTCTGGACTCAGAAACATGGGATCCCTGAGGGCAAATCCTCCAAAGTCCGCACTGAGTATCCTAGCTTTTCTATGTCCTTTGGTGCCCAGCACCCTTCTCTGTTCAGCAGCAGACATATATTTTCCAAATTCTTTCTTTGTTTTCTGCCAATAAACCTGTAGAACTCATTTTTGCCCTTCACACCCCTCACCAGCTTCAATTCCATCTAGCCTTTGTTTTTTCCAAGCCAGTTCACACACACTCAGGCAGCATTTCTCTCATCTCCCAAGTCCCTACTTCCACATCCTGTACGGTTATGACTGAGCTTTCTTAGGAGCTTCTTATTGACCTCCTTCTTATAGGCCTCCCATCAGCTTCTCTTGACTTTCAGATGGAAATCATGAGTCTAGAGGAGGTGACCCAGCAACCATGGATCCCTCCTCTCTCCTTGGACAATCATATGGGATTGTCCCAAGTAGAACTCTAAACAGAGCAAAGTTTATTCCTCTGAAACTCAAAGTTGTGATCTTATTTGTCATGTTATTTTCTCTCAGGGACCTGAACATCATCAATTTATGGCCACTTTAGCCAAAGCCAAGACAATCTTCACATCCAGTTCCTAATTATTGGTACCAGGTCCATTAGAGTATTTCACCTCATCAGCTCCTCAGTCAACCTGTGTCAAGAAGGCGTCATCATTTCACTCCAGATGTCTCCTGGAATGCTTGTGACCTGCTGTGTTGCCCTTCCAGCAGAAAGGAATTTTTAGATTTTATGATAAAAAAGTCTGACTTTTCCTTGCCAGAAATTGCCTAACGTGTTTATTGAAAAGTAATGTTTATAATTATAGATGGCAACTCTGAACCAACAGGTAGTGGCCACCAAATTTGACCATGACTGCATATTAGTAATATCTAATGTAAATTAGTTCAACTGAATCCAATTTTAGCAGTTCAGAAAAATAGCTAAAGGCTAAAATTTCAATAAAAAGCAGTATTTATGCATGAAATCTGTGAAATTATTAGTAGCTCAAGTTTCCACATATTTTTAATTAGGCATAGGTAAGCAATGGGTAAATGTAATCTTTGTCTCACATTTTGGTCAAGAAAAACATTTGTCAAAAACATAGGTGGGATTTCAGATTGTACCATCCCTTCATAATACCAATTAAGACAGTGGTGGGGATTCCCCCTCCCTCCCAACAGTCCCATTATTTTGAAGGGCTAGATGGTTTGCAGTGGGATACAGTAAACAAGGGTTCAGTAGATGGTAAGGAATGTTCAGGTATTAAGTAGAACAACACTGGCAAATCACCATATATCCAAAAAGAACCACTATCCATGCAAAGTAGCAATGAGTCTTCTGGTTGAAGCTGTAATCCATGTTGGCTCTGTTCTTTGCATATATGTAGCACTTCCACTTAAAAAAATTAAGATCTCGTATAGAAATATCATGTATATTTAGCTGCCTCATACCCAAATGTACCGCATAGAGGGCAGGAACCCTTGCTTACTTTGCTCATATAAAAGTCACTTACAACTCCATGTCCACAGCAGGCAGTGCCAATAAAAATGAAAACAGAGTATGATATGGGATGTATGCTGATAACACGTCAGAGAATCAGACATACTGTTGGCAAGTAATTATTCTTTGAATGTGAATCCGTGTGGATACAACCAGGAATGGCAGACGGCATCCCCCAAAGTGGAGAGACGGAGTAATTTCAGCTGTAAATAATACTTCTCACCAAAACTTGGCGTCTAAATGAATGACCGAGTTGAAGTCATAACGTCTGGCAAAAGCTATTGCAGCAGTACATTTATCAAAGAACATAGCTGTTGTTGATTGCCTTTGGGAAAATGACCCTTAATATTCAAAGTACAAAGTATGCAAAACAAGTGCTAAACATAAGGATATACTAGGCTAACCATTTTAATTTTTTGCTTGGAAATGACTGAGTCATAAAATACACGACTCTGGATAAGGTGAATTTTTCATGATTCTATATCAATGCAAATAATGATTGATATTTCACTAACAGCAATGTTATTCTCCATAAAAGACATCCCTGATTAAAACAGCATGAGGTCATAACTACAATAAGGTAATTTAAAAGCAGGTTGGTTTTTCTTCTAATTAAATAAAGTTTTGTGTAATTCTTTACCTCGTGGCATTGATCTTTGTAGACCTTCATGCTCATCTGTCCAGTGGACTGCTGCCACAGTTAATCCTGGCGCCAGTGTTTATAGACTTGTTCAAAGCTTGCAGAAAGCACTGGATAGCAACAATCCACCCATCTGGATTGTCAACACTGAAGAAGTTGACATATGCCAGAGTAATTTGGCTGACTCCAACAAGCTCTCATTTATGGGAATTACAAGGCACGCTGGCATAGAGGTACGTAATTTGTCCAGAAACTTAGCTGATTTCTCCTGGACAGCTTCCCTGAGAATCTCCAGTGTGACTGCCATTCTGTGCAGTTACGTTTGAAAACTTTTACAAGTATCTGGCTTTACTTTTGAGTATCAGTGGTGGCACAGTTTCATCTGCAGACAAAGGTAATACAGAGTAGAAACTGCATGATTAACAGACTGCAATTACTCTTCCTCAGAGTCTGTGAGACAGATGTTTCAATCATATACAAAGTTCACATGCTTGGGATGAAAAAGACCTGACTGTAATTGGTATAACAGAAGCAGATACGTTTTGGTTAGATTGCTAGCATAGATAACAGTAAAAAAAATATGTTGCAAGGATACAATAGTCACTAAATCATAAGGTCACTCCTAGACCTTGAATAACAATCACAAGCATTGAAATAATCATGAGAACACAAACATTGTAATGTTCTGTACACCATAGTGCTAATACCATACGGATGGCAGGAATAACATCACAGAATGGTTTGGGTTGGAAGGGACCTTAAATATCATCTAGTTCCAACCTCTTGCGGAGTAAACAGTAGACCAGCCAGTGTCAAGGACCAGTATGGCAAAACAAAGAGAGAATAACTGGTGGGTCCTTTGTAGGTTTGAATTTCACTTCACAATAGAGAATTTAAAAATAACTGATTCCTTGTGTCAGAATGCAGAAGGAGAAACCCAGAACCACACCTTAGGTATGTGACTCAGCTTACCACATGAAAAGAATACTAGAGCTTTTCTGTATGTAAACACCTCTGTCTTTTGTGTTTATTTAAAGAATTACTTACAAAATAGCGTACCTCAAAAATGTACCTCACGTCCAAAGCAGAGTAAAAGTACTTCATGGATTCATAATGTAATGTTACTATTTCACAAGAAACAAGATTCTTAACAACTGAGGCTTATACTCTGTTATAAGAAAAAAAAACATTGGTAGAAACAATTCAGATGAAAATGCAATTCTTTTTCAAAGAGAATGAAATAAAAAAATGAATTAAATAAAAATTAACATTATGGGCAAAAAATATCAGTGAGTTATTTGGATTTATACAAAGAGCCAATTTACTGTACAGTTGCTCTGAGAAAGAGAAATTGTGATAGAGTTGGTTTCATTCTTCTCATAGGCCCATGAGAGCAGCATGTCAACTTTCATTATGCAAATAGACTCAGAGGATTCAGCTGAGTAAGAGAACCTGTACTGATCTGTGTGGAACACAGAATTCAGCTTCTGTAGAATTTATGGACAAGACCAGCGACAATACCAGTAATGACATTCTTCTGTTTTATCCAGATTTCTTTCATATAATAGCAAAGAGAAGAACTGTTGCTCCTCTCAAATGCAAGCCATGGTCAGTCTTATGATTATTGTGTAATAACAGAATTCACTGCCCTTTAGATGGCTTAATCCCCTAGCAGTCCCAGTAGCATTGCTCAAGAACTTTCAAGAGACAATACTTCTAAAAAAATTCTCCTGCCTTAGTGCTGGTTATGCAAAACAAACAACTCACCTCAACACTATCAAAACCATATGAATAGTAATGATGAAGAGTAGAAATCACAGGAATGTTAGCAGATTTGCACCGGATGGCCAGCTTCGTAGCCTCTCCCAGATATCCTGTACTCAAATAAAGTTTAAAATTGCAGTTGTACCTCCTGCTTTTTCCTGTATTTTTTCTTGGCTGAAATCCTCTCATCTGCCTGCAAAGAAAAGGGGCCCAGTCTTTCTTATTCTCTTTACTATTCTCATAAGAAGTTTCTGCTGTTGGTTGGTTTCAGAATCATTGACAGTGGCTTATCCACAATAATTTTGTGCACTAGGGACTTCCCTCAGAAATGCAAATTTTTACATGAAAACAGAATATTTCAAACTCTTTTTAGAGAATATGAATGCAAGTGCAAAGAGAGACATATAAAATTGTACTTGAGTTTGCGTGGCCATGTTTTGGTAGTGGGGAGAGAGGGGGCTACACGAGTGGCTGCTGTGAGAAGGTGCCAGAAGCTTCCTATGTGCCCAGTGAAGCCAATGCCAGCTGGCTCCAAGACAGACCCACTGCTGTCCAAGGCTGAGCTCCACCAGCAACAGTGGCAGTGCCTCTCTGATAACATACTTAAGAAATGGAAAAATAACCCCTGCACAATTGCAGCTGGAGAGAGGAGTGAGACCATGTAAGAGAAACAACTCTGCAGTCACCAAGTTCAGTGAAGAAGGAGGTGGAGGAGGTGCTCCAGGTGCCAGAGCAGAGATTCCCCCTGCAGCCCATGGTAAAGACCATGGTGAAGGAGCTGTCCCCCTGCAGCCCACGGAGATCTGATGGACTTGTGACTCCATAGGGGACCCATGTTGTCTGTTCCCAAAGGACTGCACACCATGGAAGGGACCCGCGCTGGAGCAGTTTGTGAAGAACTGCAGCCCATGGGAAGGGGAAGTTTGTGGAAGATTATCTCCCATAGAAGGGACACCACACTGGAGCAGGGGAAGAATCTGAGTCCTACTCCTGAGGAGTGAGGAGCAGCAGAGAAAACAATTGATGAACAGACCAAACCCACCATTCCCTATCCCCCTAAACTACTGGGGGAGAGGAAGGGGAAGAAAATGAGGAGTGAAGTTGAGCCTAGGAAGAAAGGTGGGGTGGCGAGAAGGTGTTTTTTAGATTTGGTTTTATTTTCTCATTACCCTAATCTGATTTTATTGGGAACAAATTAAATTAGCTCCCCCATGTTGAATCTGTTTTTCTCACGACTGTAATTGCTGAGAGATCTTTCCCTGCCCTTATCTCAACCCACAAGCCTTAAGTTATACTTCCTCTCCCCTGTTCAGCCGAAGCAGTTAGGTAGCTTTGCTGGGCACCCAGTGTCCAGCCAGAGTTAACCACCACAAAGATACGGCTTTTCCATGAAGTACATTTGAATGAAGAGAAACAAAATAGATGTACATAAAATCAGGGCATTCTGGCAGACATAGCAAAGTATTCTAAAGGGAAACTGAGGTTAATAAAGCTTAAAAAATAATATAACAATTTCATCTATACTCTAAAGTCCAAAGTTATTATTTGGGTTATGACACTAATAAGGTTCTCTACTTACAGATTTATTGTGAAGCTAACAGCAGATAAAAATTTATCTGCTGTAACCAACAGGTCAATGTTTAAAATTCTGCTGTTCAATTTCTGCCTAGTAGCCTAGTTTTACTTAGCACATTCACTATCACCACTGCTTTTTTTCTTAATTAAGAAGCTAATATTGCTTGAGGAATCTTCCTTCCTCTTTTCCCCTTTCCACTTTACTGATTAATTGGGAATCCCTTAATAGACTTACACATGGACTATCTTGCAAAAGGTCCTTCAGAATAAGAAAATCGGTTGTTGGGAAGGGGGGGGACAGGTTTTAGAGGTTTTTAATTTATTTTTAAACAGTAAAAGGAACAGCTCAATTAATTCTAAACATAGTGTATTGGCAAATTATTCCTACAAGAATAGACCGTTTCATTATATTTTAAGGAACAGACATAGTGACCAATATGCCTATCATTAACTTTGCCAGAAGGAACTATACATGCATCATTCAGTTCTTCTGCTGTGCAATTCCTTAGGAAATATTTACATTTCTATGCAGTTCCTCCAAATGAAATTCTGAAATGCTTTCAAAACAAACAGCAGAAAATATATTAAAGTTTTCCTGACTGTGAAATTAATTTTTAACACAAACAAATGCAACAATTCATTCTATAAACACACAGACAATAATTCAACAGAGAACTGAAATGGCTACTCTGGATCTTGGGCAGAAATTCACTAAAAGTCATCTAGTTTGTGGGGGATTCACCCTCACCCTTTTCTTGTTCATTCTCCAGGCACATATACAGAAGATGACTTTAAGTTCTCAAAATATTTAGAGCTGTGCTCCTGTACAAGTCCAAAGCTGTCCTGTTATAAGCAGCATTGTGCCTACTTTATGCTAAATCAACTTGCTGATTCTATGTGACTACCAATTCAGCAGGGAGGGACAACAAAATGGTGCTAGGCAAGAGTCTTAATTTCCTACAATCAATACAATGAAGTGTGCTAATTGCCTCTCATATGACCTGTGAACAGCTGGTAAGTTCTTTCCATTACTGCACAGAGAATCTCCACTTTAGCACCTGCTTGTTGGATTTGGGGTGGGAGTGTTTTGGAACTAAAACATTTAGGTATTTAGATAGACAGTCTGTATCATGGGGTCACTGAAAGCAAGTGTCCATTTTCTTGAGAAAGTTCCAGGATCTGGTTCCAAAATGAGCAAATGTATGAGCAAATAGAATTGATACAGCTAATACCCAGGAAAGGATTAGGCTTTCAGATACAACTCATAACCTCATTACTTCCTTCTAAGTGGCTGCAGCCAACTTCTTGGCAAATGTGCTTGCTAGATTCTATTAATCCTTTCTGGAATATTTTTACCTCCATTTGTATCAGTGCTAATCAAAATAGACAAATCAATTTATACCACCATTCTATTCTTTTTACTGTGCCCAATATCACAAGAAAAAGGATCAGGAAAAAACAAAACCTATGCCTGAGAAATTAAAACCGTTTCACCTGTTTGACACAATACACAATGTATACTGATAAATCTACTGCTAAAATGGATCTTTTAATAAAACAAATGCCACAGATTTCTTCGTTCTGCTACAAAAAATATAACATATTCAGTTATTTATCAACTGAAGAGGATGTTATGTTGTTATTAAAAATACCCAAATGTTTTAGTAGCCCGGAAATACACACCATGCACATAACTCCATGTTTTTACACTCTGCAGGGATAAGAGTCTGCATTTCCTTCTCTGCTACTAGAGGATCACACAAATGAACAAGTATTATGAAGAGTTTGGGTTCGCTTTTAAATTATTCTTCCAAAGTTTCAGTATTTGTGGCATTTCTTCAAATGTCAAATATCTTCTAACTGCACTTCAAAAGGACTAAATTACAGCTGTTTGTATAAAATCCAAAAATCCAAACTAAAAATAAAACAAACAAAAAAACCCCAAACCACCTTTTAAAATCAGAAATAGTATGCCACTGGGCAAATTAATATCGACCAAGTATTTTTGTGCTGTTTTACAATTCACTAAAATGATTTATTAAGGTTGCTTTAAAAGTCTCTCTCGCATTGCAAAGGTTTTCAATTCTGATAATAGAGGGAAACAAAATTGACTTTATACAATATATATCTGGTTTATTTATTGTTCAGTCAATACTAGGCATTTGGTTCAAGCACTTGCATATGGCAGTTACAGTATTTACAAGACTAAAAGAAACTATTACAATTGTTTTGTAACCCATTCCTAGAAGAATTTAAAATGAGTATGAGAGAAATTCCAGGCACATTATCACCTAGATTTTATTTACTCACATATAACATGTGAGATTTCGGATGTTAAGAGTTTGTATTTTGTTGTTACTAGATGAAATGTAGAAGCGTGAAGAGTTTCTGAAAATAATTATTATTGTTCTGGAAGCAATATTGGGTTACTATTTATTATTTAAAAATAAAAAACAATTTCATTAACGATGATAAGCATAGAAGCTGATCTATTAAAACATTATACATTTTTACTAAAATTGAAAGTTGCAGGATGAAAAGGAAAATATGTAGACATCAGAGTACTAGGATTCCCAAAGGCATTATTAAGAGCTGTACACAGCCACATGCATTGCAAATCTGCAGGTGTACGAAAGTTTTCTGCCTGCTCAGAGCAGTTTAGATAAGTCATTGAATTTATAGACATATGCTTTTGATTTCTTAGCAGTCTAATTAGAAGGTTCTACTAATTATTACTAGAACCACCTTAGATATCCAACAAAACTTAAAAATTAACCACCAGTTTAAGAAACAGTGGAGTATACCGGGGGGAATACCACAAGTCTGCCCTGATCTTATATTCTTTCATAGATATGGGCTTATGCCTCATAGTAGACAACTAGATGGACACTGCAGATGGGCTTTCCAAATGATCCAGGCCAGTTGTACTCACTGGAACTATTCTTCGTATTAAATGTGAGAAGAATTCGAAAGTGAACAATGCGTACTAGACACTGCTTACCTGTGGGTGCTATAGCTTCAGATAAGCAGAAGCTCATTTCACATACACAGTCTTACCAGTGCAGGACACGCAGCATGGCCCCACCAGCTCAGCCAACCCCTCAGGGACACCCCTGGGCAGTGGCAGTCCTCCAGACACGAGCGTCCCCATGGATGTGGACACCACGCCAGGTCTTGACATCAGTCTGGCCAGTGATGTCCCCATGGATGAGGACAGCCCGTCAGGCTGCGACCTCTCGCTGCCACCGCCTCAGAGCAGCATGTCACCAAGCAACATCGCTCTGGAAAGGCAGGGCACGAAGAGGAAGAGGGGCTCTGGGCCAAACACTGGGAGCAAGAGCAAGGCTCCTACAGCCAGGGCTGGGGCAGAAAGTCATTGAGGGACAGATCGTTTGGGGATCTGTCCCAGTAGGAAGGATAGATCGTTTGGGGATCTGTCCCAGTGGGAGGGATAGTTCGTTTGGGGATCTCTCCCAATCTGAGGGAGGGAGGGAGGGTGTTTGTGTAGATAGGGATGTAGACAGAGATGGAGATAGAGATGTAGTGTAGATGTAGATATTGATGACCATTTTCTTCTGGTTGTCAATTAAAAGATTTTATTCCATAACCTGTCTGTGTCTGCGTGGAATGGGGAGGGAGTGCAGGGCAGCAGCGGGAAATGGTACCCAGGATATCCACCAAGGCTCAAAGGGCTCCAAGTGCACCCAAAGGGCACTCCAGGCCTGAGTCGGTGCCAGAGGTGCAGGCACTCATGGAGGGCCCCCTTCCCCTGGGGAAGAAGCCCTTTAGCATGGGAGCCAGGACAGAGAGGTCCGTGCAGGACTCACGCACACGGCCCCACACCGAAAGCAGCCCTCAGCACAGCCTGGGCACCGTCCTCCCGCTCTGGGGCTTTAGAAGGCTGCTCCCACTGCTCCCAGTGAGCCCACCATGTCCCCAGTCATCCCACTGCAGGGATGGGGCAGCCACGGCTTCTCTGGACAACCTGCGCCAGGGCCTCCCCACGCTCACAGGGAAGAAGTTGAGAGCTTTTTTCCCAACTCCTAATACATACCAGAACATAAAAAGAAAAGTTTGCTGCCAACACAGCTCCAAAGCACTCCTCCAGTGCTTTATTAATTGAACAAAACTATACAAATACCTAATGTGAGGGAAAAATACAAAGCAGCAAAAAGAGATTGGATGACATATTTTGCCATTAAACTTCTTATCAGGAAGTTACTTTGGCAAGGTAGGTGTGTGTCCAGGAAGTAACCAGTGATCAGAGCTCATTTTCCTAGTGGTTTGCCTTGAATAGCAGGATGTTTGATACCCTGCACTAAGCTAAAAGATAAAACTAATATAAATTACTAGCTAAGAGGCACACAGCCACTGAATAGGTGGTTTGTATCACTGACATTAAGAGATTAGCTACATTTCAGCTGGCCCATTTGCTTTCCAGATAAGGTAAAAAAACCCAACAACCTCCACAGACGGTATGTGGAAATTTCTACATTTCCTTCCACGGGGTAACAGATACATTTCAAAGACTTTTTAAATGAAAAACTGAAGTTTACTTTTCTTTCTACATTCTTAGCATATTTGACTATGTTATATTTGTAGCCGAGAAAGGTCCACTTTCAGTAAGAAAATGAAAACAAACACAGTTATTTAGGTATTAATAAATATTTCTAGATATTAACTCTGAATAATGCAACCTCATACAATGGACATCAAAATACAAACTAATAATTTCAGCTCTAACACAGTAGCAGCCTAAGCTATCATTAAATTTCAAGATCTTCAACTCTTTAGTGAATCAAGTTTTGATCAAAAGCTATGATAGATCACATCTTTACAATAGTCTTCCTTACTTAAGTAGATTAGTTCCTTTTCTTGAGTTGCCTTAACTGGAGGTAAGGCTTTGTAAACAACACAAATGGACATCACTTTTTCTGTGACCTTTGTTATACTGACCCATCGAAAGGAACTAATCTGTGCCGTTCTGAAAACATACAAAGAAACAAATTATCCATGATAAAGAAAAGTTTTAGTTCTAAACAACAGATGAGATTAGGAGGATTATAGAAAAGGTTACTCCTTAATATGAGTCATTTTAAAAGGATGAACTCATCAGCCACTGAAGTAGTTTCCATTCAACCTGTAAAATATATAAAGTGGGCACAAATGGAGAATGTGTTAATTTACAACTAGAAAAGCTTTCTTAAAATTTGAGAACTGCTGAACTTCTATGCAAGCCTTAAATAACTAAGAATGTGTATCTCATCATACATGTTAATTCTCTCTCTCTCTCTTTTTTCTCAAGGTTTTCTACTCTCAGTTTCAAAATCTCTGCAAGAGGTAGAAGATGAAGATATGTTGCTAACCACACTAAATCTAGAAAAAACTCTTCGAAATGGAGATAAAGCTCTGAACAGGGGAGCTATACCTTTGCTGAAGCATTACAAGACTGAAGACAGCATTGTTTTCAATGAAAAGAACGATGGAAACATGAAGTTTTTGGTGAGTTCAGTTTTTCGTTTTGGCTTAATTATAAAAAGGAAATTTTTTTATACCCCTTTAGAAAACAAGTACAATAATTTAAAGCAACAACCTGGTAAATATACAAAAATATCAGTTTAACATACCACAGTCAAGAATAAATTTTCAGCTGTAAGTATCTAGTTCCAGGATTTTGAATGTGTAACTTGGACAGTTGAATTAAATCTGATTTTTGCAGAACTATATGTAGCCAAAGCTTGCGGGGTAAAAAAGCCTATATTTGTGTTTGATGCAGCATGTCCCTATATGCAGCAACAGGTTTTTAACTTCGCCAAACATGAGGCTCATTATTTCATTATGTTCTTTACCATTAAACCTTTTCGGCCAAAGATGTAATGCAGGTCATTACTTTTAACCTATGATCTTGAAACATAAAATAGTTGCACTATGAAGTATAAAGTATAAAATGTGAACACAACTGACTGTAAATAAAGATAAACCACTACTTTTGTTTTCCCTCAAAACAGGACACGGGTTCCAGACGTGATTTCTTAAATCATGTTAGGCCAATCAACTTAGGTAGAAAACAACTACTGAAGGGAGCCATGGCTTTTCCAGCTGACACTGAAATTCGAAATATTGAATCAATACAGGAAAGAGAAACCACAGATGAAGAAAATTCAGCTAAATTCCCTATAGGAAGAAGAGATTTTGACAGTAAATAAATTTTATTTTTACGTAAAAAAATCATTTCATTCTGGTAAAGTATAGTGCAATGTCAATATAGCGATTTGATAAAATTTCATGTAGAAACTCCATGCCTGTTGTGAATCAGTGCACTGGGGAGGGAGTATTTTTTAAATTAATGTTTTCAGAGGCCATAAGAATTCTAGTTCTTTGCAGATTTAAACCTTTAGATTTTTTTTTCCTCCCTTAGTCCTCAGGTGTATGCTGGGAAGAGTCTATCGACCTTGTTGGCAAGCATGAAAACTACTGATCTGCAGCACCATCTTCGAAGATCAAACATTTTATTTTGAATTTAACGCAATTTGAAGTTACTGTGTTTTAGTGTGGCTATACATACGCATCCAAAAATAGTTTCCCATCACATTGTAGAGGCATACATAAATCATTACCAAAAAGAACATACTGCAATTACTAACAATGTATTGCTATTATAAAATAAAAGACTTCAGCATAATCCAGACTTGTGATAAGTTGTCTAATATTATACACAAGCTACTTTCAATTATTTGAGTATGAAAAGGAAGCAATTCATGAATTTCACCCTTTTTCTCACAAAATTTTACAACTGTCAACATACCATGCATCTCAAAACAAAAACCTATAGTCGAAAAAATTGAGTTAATTTTGCCTGACCAGCAATCAACTTATTCTTACTTGAAGTTTTGGTCTGTTTTCTTTTACCCCCGATTTTGCTGTCCAATTCCTTCTGAGAGTTGTTTGAAGTCTTAAGTCTTTTAGCATTTTTTTGCAAAGATGGTTCACTTTCCTTGTCACAGATTACTTTGTCATTATTCACATCCATCTGTTCATTCTTGGAGTTCTTGTTCCTTGGCTGACAACTCAGCTTTCCCATTTCTGTACAACTTCTAGTCTGGTGAAGACTTTCAGAAATAGTTCCAAGCACTGGTACATCAAGACATGAATTTGTACCTTCTGTCATGTAAGAATATAAAAAACATGTGAAGAAATAAAAAGTTACCTGGGAATATACATCCTTTTTATACCAAGACTGCCGTGTTATTTTTTTAATCAAAACTAATGTTCCATCAATAAAACAAAGCTATGCTGGCCATTGCAATTACATTTGCTATATTGTCACAAAATGGCATTGCTCTAAAACATATAATAGCAACTAACTTAGGAAAGTAGATTTATAACTTTAAGTTATTGGAAAAGAAGCTTAAAGGGCGTAGAAATTTTATATATGATATAATTTGTAGTGGATTAAAACATATTTCCCGCCTCTTTTAATGGCAAAAGTACAAACTTCACTTAGCTGACTTTGTAAAATAAGAACAAACATTATGTAATATATGTAACACATATAGTTTTTTTACCTCAAGATAGCATCAACACGTAATTTTCAAACATTCATACTTTCAAAGCATTAGCATTACAATTTTAATTCAGAGATTTAACTGATTATAGCATGCACAGAACAATGAGACTTTTTTTTCTTGAAAACATAGTTATACTTGAGTTCTACTAAAGGCTTTTTGGATAACATTTCAAACATTAGCTATCACATTTTCTTATTCAATCCTACCACAGTTTACCTGTCCCATATCCAGCTTTCAAGTGTTGCTTTGGTGCAGGATGTTTGCAGGTTGGAATTTCAAGAGAATGCTGACGACTCATTTCACTCAAATCATTTTTATATGTACATGCAAACTGGGATTTAATTGAAGATTGCTTCATCTGCAAATAGCAATCTGCTATTAGCTTTAAGTATTTACAAAAGCAAAAAACAAAAGCTGCAAGATGAGTAAAACAAGCTTTCCCATTCTTTTCACATAAAATACCAGAAGAGTATGCTCACATTAAAAAAAAAAAAAATTAAGTGTTCATTTACAAAGTTAAAGGTTTTCAAACATACTCATATTATGCTATTAAAAGCCCTAGAATAATTTAAAAAATCTTTTTTTCAGCTTTTTCAGAAAGTTACACATTAACTGTTAGAGCTTCAACTTAAGGCTTTCTGCCTTAAGTTAGCCCCTTCTTTTGACAGGCTGCAGATGCTACTGCTTTAAGTGTCATAGCTACTACAGTCAATTTTTATACTTGTATAGGTCATCATCTTTGAGATGTCAGTTCACAAATGCCAAATACAGGATGAGTCTCTCCACTTAACCAATCTATACAGAGAGGAAAGCATAACAGCAACACAGAAAAGGAATGATAGATAATATAAACTAAGCTTCACTATACTTATACCTAAAAGTGGAATATGAAGTATTACTTCAGATTCCCATTTACTCACAAAATAAAGCCATTTCAACACTGAATGCCAATGTCTAACTCCACGTTTGCCAGAACATATCCATAATAGCCTAAGTTGCCAGAAATCTACAGTATTGAAGAACCCTTCTGTACCCGATTCTGCATGCTCATCTCCACCTCCTAGTCTCAGAAACAGGGAACCTAGTCTCATAGCACAGATAAATCAAAATATTTGGTTCAAATATAAAAAATTAAATTTTTTCAGTATATCCACATATAATGGAATTAGTGGTTACAGGTCAAATTTTCTCAGTTTACACTTAAGTCACAGCTTCATATCAGCTTAGAATTTCAGGTCAAGCGTGGTACTTTCTGTACAACTGATCATAAATGCTATAGATTCTGGAAGACAAAATCTGCCCTCACTTCAATTTGAAAGTGTACTAGATTATACAAATTATGTTGAAACATATAGCACAGAGTAGATAATTACAATAAATCTGGATTTTTAGCTAATAATTCTATTACAACAGCACAGGTGAATTCAAATATCAGGAAAAAGAACAAGCAAGAAACACTGTTACAGAAGAAA